GTACTAATACAACTTTTTCGCAAGACCATTACTTTGCTAACAGTTAATCACATGCTAAGCTTATCATTCATTCAAAAAATATGGAAATTTGATGAAATTATTATGATCCTCAAGCCAGGAAAAGAGGTAGAAGTAACATCTTATTAACCGATCATCGTTCTCTCAACCGCAAACAAAGTTTTTAGAAGATTACTGCTACAAAGGATATGAGTAGATCATTATTTCCCAACATTACTAGCAAAAACATCGCCAAACCAAAAGCCGACACAACATATGCCCACCTGTAAAAATGGAATATGTAAGAATACCAACAGTAACAGACGCTAGATACCATGGGCTCTATATTAACCAATGTCTCTCTTGGAAGAAACATATCCAGACTAAAAGAAGGCAGCTCGACTTAAAATTACGGCAAATATATTGGCTTCTTAAATGTAAACTAAACCTTAACATCCAAAACAAAATTCTTGTATACAAAGCCATACTCAAACCTATCCGGTTCTATGGATTACACTTAAGGGGGTGTGCAACACGTTTTATTTGGGAATAAAGCTATTTTCCATAAGAATAGTACTGTACAGATATTACTCAACTTCTAATCCATTCCGCATTCTCACCCACAGTCAAACAATATGGTAGTTGGATGTTTGGGCTGAAATTCTTGGAAATTACTTCATCAGACCCTACTTTTCCGAGAAACATATAAATGGACAAAAGTATCTACATTTGCTGGACAAAGGATTCGTGAAGAAAAATCGTTTAAACTTAAACAGATTTGTTGATGTCCAACATCTACAATTCTACGGAGTGTTAATGTTGATACGGAATTAATAAAAAAAAATTATTATCTTTTAAACTACATATATATGTTATTGCTTCCTTAGTATTGGGTCGTTCCCGGTTACCTTCAACTGTCTGTTGTTTACCAGTAGCCCGTTACTGTCCTCGACCTTCTCTTTATATACATATATATATATATATATATATATATATATATATATATATATATATATATATATATATAGTGTGATAGTGGCATAATAACTAAATCCAAAAATAAATATTTGACGGTGTTCCCTATACTCGGCACTTGCAAGTATCCTCACTAATATTTTTTGTCTACGTGGAAATTCTGTCTGCGTGACAACAGTCACCCCAAACAGTTATTCACTATAGAATAGTGCAAAGTAGCACATTCTAAGGGTACTTAAAATCATGTAAACTAACTTGCGTATTAAGAATATAGCTCCATCAAGTTAAAGAAAATTTAATTAAAGAGTCTGCACTTCGTGAGCACTACTTTAGGATTTAAATAATATTTTAATTTTGGTAATCTAACAGGTTTTTTGCTATGTGGCCTTATTTCTGCACTATCACATAACTTCGTCCTTTTTATAACAAACTTGTAGCTCTTATATCTGCATAATTTCTTAAATGACATGTTCGATTCATGATTTTTTAGCGAATAGGTCAAATATTGATCTATGAACCGAATACTTTACCCCTAGTTATTAACCCTTACAAAAAAATAATCACTTAAATAGTAGCTTTAACCAATACACGCACCAAAATCAAATAACATGAACAACGTAATTATTATTTTCCTCTTAGCCAACGGACATATAGTGTAGTCGCAATAATTCAAAACTGACAACTTGAATGCTCTATTATGAGTTATAAGTTATAAGGCATGCACTGTTATTTATATTTTATTATTATATTCAAAAAAGTCCTGGTTTATGCAAACTTCAAGGGGATGTCAAATTTCAGACGTAATGATTTGTAATTTTATGGTCTAAAAGATGTATTACTGGAACAACAATTAATTAAGGAGGCATATTAAGAAAAAGATTTTTACGTCAAGTGAAATTAATCTGGAGTTGCTAGGTAATTTATAAAAATGTTATATTTTATTTACCAGTTCTATTGTATTTTTTACGGTAAATTAAGGTAATAATTTAGTGTGTTCTAAAATAATACCTGACAGTTTTTAAAGTTTATATGACTGTATAAGCTGTATACAAAAGCTACAGGTCTTATTGGGTGATCTTGTTTGTGTAGTTTAATAAAAGAGTATAATTTAGAAGGCAGTAAGTTTATTATAATGAAGTATTTCTTTACTCTTGAATTTAGTATTGATTTTAAATTTTCTAACGCTAGTTTAATTTGTTTTTGAAATGTTTCCGTCGAATCTTTGTTTATTGTATTAGTATTGTGATTATTTCAACATTTTATTCTTCTTCTTCATGGAGTATGTCAATAGCATTTTTGTATCAATATTAATCTCGCAAGTTCTTTAACTAATATATATATATATATATATATATATATATATAGAGAGAGAGAGAGAGAGAGAGAGAAAGTAAGTTCTAGCAGTAGTGTTACCTTTGTCTGCTTTTGTAAACACCATGTTCTTTTACATATATTGATTTATTTTTAATTAAAATGGCTGTTTGAATCTCTTTGTAACACGACTTTTTAGTTTCATTACACTCAACGGTAATAGATTTTGCAATGACACATTTTTCGATATTCTTGGAAGTTTTTTTACCTATACTTCACATTCTACACCTAAATATTCTTAAAGTTTTTTGATTTGAGGCAAGTTGTATTTAAATCATTTCTCTAAATGTTATATCTCACTATTACTACATGTAGTATATGTTAAATTAATAAATTTATTGAAAAACTAACAGGCACCTTGATAAATTCTTATCGTCAATGTATATAATTGTCATAGTCATTGACATAGTCAATGTATATAATTAATATACGATATGACGTAGTCATTTTTATTTCACAATAAAAATCGAACCGAAATAATCCATAAATTTTCGAGATTTAAAAATTAGAAGACTTAAAAGCAAACGTGAGTTCTCCGTATTTCATACACCTACCTATACTGACATGACTGTACACAATACATCATCCCATTCTACACAACATAAATTGGTAGTCTACTAGAACTAGACCATGTTAAATATATTAATAGAAATTCCCATGTCAAAGAACAACTTCGAGATAGAGTTGAATATCATTAAGCAAATAACACTAAACAGATGGTACAACGAACACACAATAAATAAAATTTTAAATCAAAAACTACATAAAAAAGCCCTGAAATTAATATTTCCACCACCAGAGAAAAAAACCAGTACATTCTGCTCTATTACATATATAGGAAAGATATCAACTAAAATAGCCAAAGGAAAAAGCACTTACGCAGTGGTGTATACAAACTTAAATGTGGCGACTGTCCAAAAACTTACATCGGTCAAATTAGTAGAACTTTTAACAAACGTATAGCAGAACACAAAGGACTTTTAATATTATAAAAACAGACACTTCACCTTCTAGACCATAATGATTCTTTTATTGGCCAATTCCAAATTTTCCACATTCAAAAGAGGGCTTAAGCTATCTTCATTAGAATCTATGGAAATTTAATAACATTTATGATGAAAAAGGAATGTAATAACACATTATCTTTCCTGGATGTTTTAATATCAAAGAAGGATACTGGATATGAGACTCAGGTGTATAGAAAACCAACACATACCAACAGATATCTAAAGTACAAACCACTCACAACATCAACGTTTATAAAGAAGTAATTAAATCATTATACGATATAGCCAAAATTACTTTGTTTAACTAAAATTCGTTTTAAGATGAGAAACATTTGTTAACATATATACTATGCACAAACATACAAACATATTATGTTTTATTAAAAAATAATGATTCTTTCTCGTTTATAAACAAGGAATTATTAAGAGTAGGCCGAATGGAACAGAAAAGGATTATCAGAAATATTTCAACTATGAACAACAAAGAGCAAAGAATTGTATTTATAAAATACCCTGTGAATGTGATAATATTTATTTAGGTGAAACATCAACACAACATGTGAACATCAATCTTATCTCAAAAATAGAGGATTTGATAGATCTCACATTTGTAAACACGCATTGGAAAATGAACAGAGGGTTGAATAGAAAGACTGTCTCAACTCCTGAAAGAAACAGATTGTAAAAAGAGAAAAACCAAAGAAGCGACTCTAATTAATAACATATATATCAAACCAGAGTGTGGTGTTGTTATTGAGAGTTAACTAAATAACTAAGTCCAAATACTTATCATGGAATAGTATCATGAGGTTTTTTCCTCATGATTTACTATGTAATCGCTAACAGAAAAATTTTACTGGCGACGGATAATATTAAGCTTAAGTTGAGTTTATGTAATCAAATTAAATATCTTCCAATAAAGTATAAAATATAAATATGTCTGAGTTGTTAATATGAATAAGTCAGATGAAATTAAAGATTATAATAGAATAGATAAGATAGAAGATATTTTTACGGAGTTACAAAAAAAATTTGGTTAATTTATGAATGTTTTGTATTTTGAGAATCATTTTCAAAGTAACAATCTAAACGTCAATTAAACGTATTTAAAGTAAAATTGTGGTTTATTCCCAATAAAAATACTAAATTAGATGTAATCATAAAATATCGATAGCCTATATTACAATAAACGATCTTCTACGTGGTGCTATGATTAGATCTCAAAGCAAATATTTCGGAAAGCTACAAGAAAAAAATAAATAGTGCATTTTTAGTAATTTAATGTTTACTAAATTTTAATTATTTTATTACAACGAAACTTTTATGCAATAGAACTGGTAGTAGCGTACATGCCCAGTTGTGGTAAATATTGTATACACAAATATATTTTTTTTTTTCAACAAACAAAGGTTTTTTTGGAATATTTAGATTCAAAAAAAAAACCTAAAATTATTTAATTCGACAGGCATCAATTAAATCAATTTTAATGATACTTTTAGTTAATTTAATATGTAACAAAAATACTTTTATTATATGTTTTTCAGAGTAATATATTTTTCCCCAATTTCAGCTAAGCTCCAATTTATTGTGTAAATAAATCAGTATTTATTTTCAGAAAACTGAAATGACAAAGTAAAAAAGTCGTCTTACCATGAGTGTAGTGCTCGTTTTCTTTGATGACTTTCTCGGCATTTTTTCTGGCGATGTAGAACCATTCTGATGTGTTGCCCAGATAATCGTATTCGACTGATAGATCCTTTACCAGGATGTTTCCCTCCGGCAGGCGATAAGCGTAAGGACAAAAAAGCAACTGATCTTTATACTGATGTTCTGCGTAACAGTTGCCTGCAGCGAATATTACATCGTTAAACTCGACTAGGGAATAAACCATTGAATAGAGTAAATCCTCGGACATAAGAACTTTCTGGTCAGCGTATTTCCAAATTCTCGTTAACATATTTGCCCTATTAACACATATATCTGCCTCGACGCGAAATCTTTCTTGAGCATATCTATCCACGACCCCCTCACCCAAATTCAAGTCAGTGCCCGCGGTGCAGTTTTCTCCAAGGAGGTGCTGAGATTCTACAATTCGTAAAAAACGGGTGACAATATCAGCTTGACCGCGACCGACTTCAGCCCTCCTGGACGATTTTTCCCCGGAACTGTAATCTCTGGAGGAGTTCATATCGTTATTTGAATACATATCAGAAACAGTATCATTCTCGTCATTATCAGCTCGATTAAATATTCGCTTTTCTCCCATGTATAGCACTGTTTTGTCAATATGTTGCCAACTGTTATTGGAATGCACAGGAGAGTTTGAGTTTACTTTTATATTTACATTTACATCTAACTTTGTTTGGTTCGCTTCTTTGGAGAGTTTATGAACATCTGGACTTTCAGACGATAGTTTAATAATAATCTGCTCATTAGTAATTGTTAATGTAGAATTATCATAAATAACATCGGAAGATTCAGTAACAAATTTAGCTACATCCTCAAAATCTGAAGAAAACTTTTGAATTTTTAAATAATGGTTACCATGTCTCCGATTTCGCACTAGTCTAGCTCTTCTATGTCTGATCTGTACATCGCTTGGAAAAATTTGCCCGGTTATAATGTTTATAACTAATAATATTAATATCACAAATCTTAGTGGTACGAGAAACATGCTTTAATAGTTGATATTGGTACACATAAATACATTGAACATTTATTAATACATAACTCGGTTATATTTTTTATTAACACGGTTTTTAAAAAAGTTTATCCTGTTTGAAAAGTTTTGAGAAACACGATCATCGCGCGCGCTTTTAGGCTAAAGCCGACATGAGGCGGTGTGGAAAGCGCCAGTTGGGAACTGATTCGGGGTAAATATTGTGGAGAATCCAGATGTGAGCAGAGGGATCTAAAGCGCGCCACCTAGTCATAAGATGCTGCCCAGCGCAAGCGTCCTTTTTCGACATTACACTTTAATTTTTAATGCATGTGAATTCGGAGTTTACACAAAATAATGTATAATATTTAAAACTATTTTAGTTAAATGTAGAAACTATATTTAAAACCGGTAAAATATATACAATGGTTAAAGTTTCCAAGTTGTAGTTTTTACAATTTTTTAGATGGTAAGGAGATATTCGCACTTAGAATTTCTAGTCGCGCAATATTTCAGTCATCAAAATATAATTATTTGAATTCCAATAATATACACATATTATATGAAATGTGCCAAATATGGAATATGTCCTCATTATGGAATATCATCACCATCACCAGCATGTAGCTAGTGCAACTCGTGCCTGTAGACAGTCATAATTAAACCTTTAAGGTCATTCTTCTTGTTGTTCTTTTTCTTCTTCTTCTTGTAACGAATATTTTACCTACCACATAGGGTATTACTGTAGGGGGTTGAAAATTTCGGACGGAAATATTATTGGGGTGGAGATAGGGCAAGCAAAACAAATTGAAACTTATGCGAATGGCTCTCAGGGTTTATTGGGAGAACTGGGTCGTATATAAGTGAATGGCAAGGGGTTGGATTGGGGTAACCACAAAAATGAAACAAAAGAATTACTTAAATAAATCTCCTGGAACAAAAAAAACACAAGAAGGTCTTCTAGCTATTTAAAATAAGGACGCCGCTATGGAGAAACTTCCTGTTGGATGAAAGAACAGGTTCTTCCTTCCTAAAAAACACAAAAGAGAGGTTAGGAACTTTTTTAACAAAAAAAAATAAACAAATTGGTTTACGGAAAAAAAATTAAACATTTATTGTTATCTCACCATAAACAGTTACAAATATAGATAATACAAAAAATTACAAAATATCAAATACAGACTTACTATGTCCTATTTCTCATATATTAATAGTTACAAAAAATAAATACAATAACAAAAAGAAACACTTACTATGTCCTAGCCGTTTACAAATTCTAAAAGTTGGAGATATTATAAAAGTTTTGTTAATGGGCGACAATTTGTAGCAGAAATAAATTATTACAAATAAAGAAATACCGTTTTAAGTGAAACGGTGCACAGTGGTTAACTTTTTTCTAAAAACAAAACAAAATCTCAAATATGATTAAATATTTACCAGATGTCAAAAATAGTGCTAACTGTCATATGTCAATACCAAATCTTAAAACTAAGAACAAATAATATGACAACAAGCTAGGCCACGCCCTAACATGTATAATTTTAATTATTACATTTTTTTTTAATTGTTATGAAAGCAAATATTACTAGAAAATGTTTATCTTTAAAAATCAATTACAAGAGTTACCTGAATTTCACTAAAATTTCTGGAATTGTAAATGGACTTACTAAAATTTCTGGAAGTAGGAACTGGACTTCAGGAATCTCTACCACACGAACAAAAAACTGCACCTATAGTCTGGAACGACGACCAGGGAAAAACAAAATTGAGGTTGAAGTTAGCACTGGCCACAAACTTTAAGCTCGGCTTCTTAAAAAAGTGGAACACATGTGGGTACTTTTCATAGTTGTTGTAAACGCCGTTTTACTAATATCTCAGATGAGAGACGGCTTACTAATAAAAAACAGTGATTACTCGTTCAAAATTGACACACTACATTGAGTAAAAAATCACTTTTTTAACAAATTTGCTGGTTTTTTTTCGACTAAACTAAACACGTCTGCTTTCAATAGCCAATATTTCAAACCTTCACTTAAACTGTAATTATACATTGATTTTAACACTGCTACAAATTTCCCATGAAAAGAGACGAAGAAAACGGAAAAACTTTACAAATTTGACGAAAAATTTGGACTAACCTGAAACCAACTTCCCCTAGGGGCAGTTGGTTTCACCAACCAACAATGGCTTTAGCAAGGGTAATGTAATTATCTTTAAAATGCATTTGCCCAACTTAGCATACAGAAAACATATAAACAGAAATATTCCTGTCTATTTGCAATGCGCAAAATATCTCAAATCAGCTTCGATCAAAGAATACCGAAGAAATACACATCTGCAATATATAAACATACTCTAAAAATGTGTTTATTATCAACTGCAAAAAGAATTGAAAAGAATTTTTCGGTGCTTTAATACGAACGATAGGAAATGAAATTGAAAATATTTTTCGGTGTTTTAATTTATACGAGGGCATTTCAATATATACCAAGGAATTTAAAAATGTTACATTCTTCTACTTTTTGTGTTGACAATACTCTGACTGTTTTTTAATCTGCCTCTAGTATGTTATAGTTCCATCGTTTTCGTGGTCTTCCTATTGGGGAAACTCTCTCTCCGTTTTTAGAAAAGCATTCCGTAGGTCGCAACTTAGTCTTGAATGAAAACTGTCGGGATGTATCAAAATGATACATCTAACTTTGACTTAAAATTACAGTAAAAGCAATAGTTTTTGAATGAAGATTACATCGGTCGTTGTAGATTACATCCAATAATTCATTATGTTTCTCATTTTTTTTTGTGTAAATACATTGTTATAACATAATAACTATTTGTGTATGTAAATCCGAAGATGTGACTTACCTGTAAAAAGCTATTGGCAGCAACGGTCGCAATGTATCTGTTTGATACGTGATTATAAAATTTACTAACGCGCAGTCAGATACAAGTGGTGTTTTAGTTGTGTTTTCTTTTACTACTATTCTTTTAGTAGGATTTGAAACATCTATATATTATCAAAAAACGGTAACATATATAGAAATATCACCTAAGTACTCGTATAAAATGATTTGATTTCTTACATTATAAATTGGTAAAAATAAAATGTTGCCTTCCTATATGATGCAAACATAAAATATATTATTTTTTTATTAACCTTTCAAACCAAAAAAATCTTAATTTCAGTTTATTGCGGTGGCGATCTGTCCCTTATATGTCACTTGAGTCTTTTTCTTGTAACCTCGAGTGACATGATGTGCATACTGGGGTTGTATGCCCGCCACAAATATATCGTTTACAATTCTTGGAAATGGTTTTAGACAACCTGGTCCTCCGTGATGTATAAAATAAAGCACAGCGACGACGCTTTATTTGAGCTACATCTTCTGCAGCCACTGGTCCAGCTTTTTCATCGGGCTCTTCCGTTGGTCTAAATCTACTAAACGCTTCAGAAAGAGAACGTGGTATATCTTATTTCATAACACTTTTTTTGTAATTCTGGTACGGCTAACTCATGGCCTTCTTTCCGAAAAATGGGAGACGCTGTATATTCTCCTGTCCATTTACGATTGAAATTATTTGGGCATTAATGCCTGCAACTTTCAGCATGAAAAAAAAAACGACCATGAGCCCACGACGTGTGTTTGTAGCAACGTTGTAGGAAGCGCAAAGCTTATCGACAACATCGACATCTGACTTGGATTTATTATAATATGTAATCGTGTCTGGTTTCGTAGCTTGTCCTGACGTCTGATCTATGAAATCATCGTAATGCTGAAAAGATATAACAAGAACATTTCGATTCTTTTTTAGTACGTAGGAAACAATAGTGGAGAGTTCTCCAGAACTGAACATAGTTGACTATGGTTGTCGCCCTTTTACATTTAGCAGATCTACTGGCAGTTTCCTTTTATTTATTTTTTATTGTGCCAACATACATCTATTACCTTTAAATTCGGTAATAATTTGCACATCTGTAAACCAATTATTCGTCGTTATAATGCGCCCCGTTCCTAAATGGGTTGTACCAACCTACTAACGACATCAGATGGTTTATAACTTTGTTCATAGGGTCCCTGGAGTTGCTTTCTAGCATATATTTCCAGGCTATAACTATAAAAAGTAACTGCATCACACATAGCATCAATTTTTACTCCGTATTTGGATGGCTTTGGAGGTATATATTGTTTAAACCTGCAACGTCCCCTAAAAGCCTTTAGTGTCAATACTCACACACTGTCCTAGTGTTGAGATATTTTCTATTGGTCGTCTGTTTCTTTATATAGTTGCCAATATGTTCAATCACAAAATAATCCCTTAATTTGTAATTTCACATTATTCTTAACTTTTTAACCTTTAAATATTTAAATACCAATAAACTGATATTTAAATAGGTTCCGAGAAGCACTGATAAACGGAACTAAGGAAATGTCTAAGGGCCTAAGTGATGTCTTATATAGAGCTGACACATTAGAGAAAGAGTACATACGACTTAAAGTGGAAACGACTTATAACCGTGTAATGGAATATGCAAAAGAATATGCGAACACCTACGAAAAAATATTAAATTTTCATTACAACCATGGACACTTCATAGATAATATAAAACCCGGACATATAGAGTCAATCATTTCGAATGCTACAAGGTTCATTCCACAAGGAGAAGATATAAGAAGGCAGCCAATAATAGATACGGTCGTACAAAATGAAGAAGGAGACATCGTCATTATAACTTATAACAGTATAACAATAAAGATCAAAGATGTGCGAGTCAGAAGAGGAGCAGAATGTGGAACGAACCATAAACTACTGACAGCAAAAATGGGCATTAATTGGAAACATAAAAAGACCCCCTCTACAGAAGAACCGTTGAACGCTATAAGAGAAAAACAATACAATATAGAACTACTCCAAGAACAATCAATTAGAGAACTTTACCAATAACGTCTAGACCAAAAATTAATAGAATTTAGATACGGCAACATCAAAAAAATATAAGAGCATATAAAGGTAAGTAT